GCCGAATTTTCCTTTATCTATCTGAGCCATTGAAACCTGGGAAACATCAGGCAGCCTTGCACCATGACACTACATGTTCTTGTTCCATGAGAAATGGTTTTGTATTAAATGTCTCCTGTACCAAAAAAAAAAAAAAGGATAAAATCTGATTTTTAATTTTTCAGAAAAAATAATTTTTGTACCATCATTAATAACCAAGAAATCAGGACCGCCCAGATGACAAAAGCAGAGGATTAAAAAAGGTACCCTATTAACATTACAGATGAAGAAGATACTAGGTGAGAAGAAACATGTATATAACAAAGCCCACAATTTGGAAATTGTGGGAATCAAAGTCAAGCAGTTAATTACCAACAAAGACAGTAAAAGTGCCTCTTTTGTCTTTCATGGTGAATGCACAATTAGCAGTTACTACTAAGACTGGGGAATAAACCATCTATAATCTACTGAAAAAGACCATCTGCTACTATAAATTTTGTTCTTATACACTTGCAAAAAGAAGAGAGCATATTAACAAAATAATGGGCCCTGCACTGTTAATTGCTAGGTTGTTTGCAGTTGTGCTGTTGCTATTAGAATTTAATAAGCCATTCCTTCTGCTAAATTAATAAGCAGCCAAGATTATGTAATAGCTGCTTTCAGCTGCTAATTATTTCTCCCATAATTCCTTTCCCTCTCTACCCCCAAACCCCCCCCCACCTTTTCTTGGCTAAGAACACCAGAGACTGCCAATATGTCATCAGCAAGTCTCCCATCCTCATATTCAGAACCACAGACCAACATTAGGAGCGTAACCAATGAGTTGAAACTTGAAGGTAGTTATCTCAGGAAGCTTGAGGATATATGTGTTTTGTACAGAAAAAGAGAAAAGCAGCATTTGGATTCAGAGGGCTAGTTTTCATTGCATAGTATTAGATCTTTCAACTGGCTAAAGGCATCTGTTTTGTGTACTAAAGGAGAAAAGGGACATTAACATGTGCCTTGGGGCATGATTGGTCAGGGAGCAGAGACATTTGAGCAGGGGACCCAAAGACCTACAGAAAGCCAGCTCTGTGCTTTGTGCCAACCACTTCTTTAATATTCCAGTATACATTAATCATACATGTTAGTAGGAAATTTTTCAAGCAGCATAGTAGTGCTTAAAAGAGAGGTATTATACAATTTTATTTTGCCAAATAAGGGCATTAAAAAATGCCCCCAAATCCTTATTATATACTATCTTAGTTTTATAGGTATTTTAACACACAAAAAAGAACACAATTTCTAATAAAGAATTCCTTTAAAATGAATAAATTTAGCTTCATGAAAAATTTAGCATTTCTTTTTCATTTTGGGCCATTAAAAAATTCTGGCGACTATATTTGGGAACCTCTGCAAAAAGGGCATAGCTCCACAAGAACAATTTTCCAGCTTCCTTTGTAAGAATCTAGGCGACTGGGGTAATGAATAGCATTCGACACGAGAAACCCGTGGCTGTTCAAGCAAGGTCACTTAATCCCGTGGGGCTCCCCTTTCCTTATCTGTAAAAGATGAGTCGTACTAGATGATTCATCCATTCTTTCATTCAAAAAAATATGGACATCCATTATGTACCAAGCACAATGCTCAGCACTATGGCTCTTAACAAATCTATCATTTTATAGTCCTTATCAGTCCACTCACATTTATTAGTTGTGTTATATACCAGGCAGTGAACTAGGATGGGATGCAAAAGGAATAAAATTCAAGATGTGCTAAATAGAGGCTAACGGGCAAGTGGGGATACAAAATGAAATAAAACTCAAGATGTGCTATAAACAGGCTAATGGGCATGTGGGTGAAAGGGATTCGTTTTTACAAGGTTTGAGGGTGAGGTTTCACAGGAGATGTGACATTTGAGAAGAAGCGCATGCCAGGCAAAGCAAGTCGTCGGCAAGGCTAAACTGGAACCCAGGCGGCTGGGGGGCGGGGGGACGACTCGCCGTGAAGGGAGCGAGATAACGTGGACGAGGTGCTGTCTGGGCTTTTCAGCAGAGAACAGACACTAACTCATCAGGTCCGCAGCACTGAGGATGGGAGAGGCAAGCCCAAGGAAGAGACACCTGCACAGCCTGGGGTGAACGGTGTCCAGGGCTGTAGCAGTGCAATGCGAAGGAGGGGCCGGATTCCGGACAGTTTTGAAGTAGAATAATTGCAAAGGGCTCGCTGAATGCGTGCACGAGCTCCACGAAAGAGCCGACTTGTTCTCCCCAGAGTGGCAGCACTCCCTCTCTACCCTCACCATCATCACCGGCTGTCACACCTCCCCGTCCCACCCTCTAAGGGCACGGAGAGTTAGCAGAGCTCGGACTTGGCTCTTTGTGGTCCAGACCTTCCCTGCCCCGCACAGCAGGGTCACCAGAGGCCACCGCGGAACCCTGTTCTCCCGCACTGAATAGCGGGGGCAACCACCCGTGCGAGTCTCGGGGGCACACGCAGGAATGCGCAGGCGGCCCCGGCCGAAGCCGCTTCCGGGTCACGTGGCCTGGCTTCCGGTTCGCACCACCCCTAGAGAGGCGGCCAATCGGCTTCCTTGGACTGCGCGGTCACCTGCGCTGCCTCCGGTGCCGTTGGCGACGGCGCAGCTGCTTCCCGCCCAGCCCGCCCCTCCGCTCGCCGCAGCCCCGGCTCCTCCCTCGTCCGGCCCCCAGGGCGGGGTCTGTCGGCTCGCCCTCCCCTCGGCGCCTAAGCCTTCCCTCCGCCGACCGAGTCCCCTCCCCACAGCAACACGGCTTCCCTTCCTCAGCTCAGCGACAGGGGTTTCCCCTCAGCCGCCGCCGCCGGCCGAGCCCCGCCGCGCCCG